TGGGCTTTGTGGGTAGTGTTTTGATTACTAATTTAGTCTCTTTATTTTCATTTTTTATTTTTTTGAGACAGGGTCTTGCTCTGTTGCCCACACTGGAACGCAGTAGTGCCATCATAACTCACTGTAACCTCGAATTCCTGAGCTCAAGTGATCCTCCCACCTCAGCCTTCTGAGTAGCTGGGACTACAGGTGTGTGTTCCCATGCCCACTAGCTTTTTGGTTTTTAGTAGATGAGGTCTTGCTCTGTTAGCCAGGCTGATCTTGAACTCCTAGGGTTCAAGTGATCCTCCCACCTTGGCTTCCCAAAGATTACAAGCATGAGCCAGTGTGCCCAGCCTCTTTCAGCCTCTTTACATGTTATGTATCTAGTCATATTTCCTCCTGCTCCTTGACTAAGTTTCAATTGTATGTATCTTTCTGGGAGTTTGTACATTTTATCTAATTTATCTTGTTTGTTGGTGTACAGTTGTTCATAATATTCTCATAATTATTTTTATTTCTGTAAGGTTGATAATAATGTCTTCTTCCTCATTTCTGGTTTTTTGTTTTTTTTTTTTTGAGACGGAGTCTTGCTCTGTCGCCCAGGCTGGAATGCAGTGGCGTGATCTGGGCTCACTGCAAGCTCCGCCTCCTGGGTTCACACCATTCTCCTGCCTCAGCCTCCCGAGTAGCTGGGACTACAGGTGCCCACCACCCCCCCCCCCCAGCTAATTTTGTTGTATTTTTAGTAGAGACGGGGTTTCACCGTGTTAGCCAGGCTGGTCTCGATCTCCTGACTTTGTGAACCACCTGCCTTGGCTTCCCAAAGTGCTGGGATTAGGCGTGAACCATGGTGCCCAGCCTCATTTCTGACTTTTGTAATTTGAGTCTTTTTTCTTTTAGTCAGTCTAGCGAAAGGTTTGTCAGTTTTATTCATCTACTCAGAGAACCATCTCTCGGTTTTGTTCATTTTCCTTATATTTAAGGAAATAACCAGACCAGCAGCTTTCTGCGTCCCCCTGGAGTCCTGCTGTGGTTCTGGAAGTTGCCGCTCCTCTCTTTCTGTTGAGTGGCCAGTGCATGTGGGGGCTCCTGCGTCTCCCCTTCACCAGAGTAGCTCTGCCTTTACCTGTTTGGCATTTCCATGTAACATTTCTTTTGAAAAGTTGGTTTACTGCTAAAGTACAGTTAAACCCCACAGAACAAAACTGGAGCCGCATGCATTAACATTGATACATAAAAAACAATCTTGAGGGAACATCTAGTTGCAAAAAGATACATATGTATGAAATGATAACAGTGTAAACTTTGCAAATGTGCAGAATAATATGGTATGTTGCCTAGAGATCCACCTCTCTTCCATAATAGTATAAACTCTTACATGGAAATGGCAAATGTCAAATACAGGTTGGTAGCTACCTAGGAGGAGGCAGGTAGAGAACCAGAATGGGGAGGGTTTCAACTCTGTTATATGACCAAATGTTGGAATTTGGTGGAAGTGAATCTCTGGGTAGTGTCTGTGTGGTTATTCCTTATGTCCTATATGTCACTAAGCTGACTTTGCAGCCTGCCAGGTGTGAGTGACCTTGGGCAGGCTATTTTTTTTTTTTTTCTTTTTTTGAGACAGAGTCTCGCTCTGTCGCCCAGGCTAGAGTGCAGTGGCGCGATCTCAGCTCACTGCAAGCTCCGCCTCCCTGGTTCACGCCATTCTCCTGCCTCAGCCTCCCGAGTAGCTGGGACTACAGGTGCCCGCCACCACGAGCCCGGCTAATTTTTTGTATTTTTAGTAGAGACGGAGTTTCACCGTGTTAGCCAGGATGATCTCAATCTCCTGACCTTGTGGTTTGCCCGCCTCGGCCTCCCAGTAAGACTGGGTTTCTATACTCCTGTGGCATGCTCTTGCAGGAATTATCCTGGAACATTCAAAATGCCAGTGTAAGTGTTGCTTTGTGTTGCTTTTGTAAGTAAACTGTAAGGGCCTGAATAGTTTGAACTGTATTGTGCTTATTTTGGCCTCCCCAGTGCCCTGAGAGTCAGTATTGAAAAAATGTTTGTTAAATTTTGCTGAAAAATCTTAGGATATAAAAGTAAACATTTGGTATAATTAATATATTGTGCTGCAGGCCTAGGAATGGGATACTGAATAGAAACTGAGTGGGAAGCTGAAAAATGACCTAATGTAGTATTTTAATGTTAAAAATGATATTCTCGAAGCACTGGGTGAAAGGAGAGGTTCCTTAATGACATTTGAACTCTATTTTTTTTTTTTAAAGTTTCCTACTAAACGCTATATAGCAAAATAAAGTAAATTCTAGGTGGATTGAAAACTTGAAGGTAGGAACGAGCCCTCTAGAAGGATGAAGCTAGCACGCAGTGAAATGTTTGTGCCCTCTCGGAAGGGCTGGGCCTTTCCAAGTGTCGTCCCCAAAGTGGAATCATGAGGAAAGGACACAAGAGTGGCTCAGCCTCCCAGACCAAGGAAAACAGATTGGCCACCACCTTTCTCTTTCTGTCACTGCTCTAACAAATCATCACAAACTTACTGGCTTACAACACACATGGTATCTTAGACTTCTAGAGTTTGCAAGTCTGATGTGGGTCTCACTGGGCTAACACCAAGGTGATGGTGGGGCTGGTTCCTTCTGGAAGCTCCAGGAGAGAGCGTTTTCCCTGCTCTCTCCAGCGCCAGGAAGCCGCCCACATTCCTTGGCATATGGCCCCTTTCTCCAAACGCTATGTTGCATTTGTGTGACCTTTTGTGGTCATGTCTCCCTCTGGCCACAGCCGGGAAGCTTTTCTGCTTTTGAGTACCCAGGATTAGATTGTGCCCAGCAGGATAGCCCAGGACGGTCTCCCACCTCCGGGTTTGTGTTCCTAATTGCATCTGCAAAGTCCCCTTTGCCACGTCAGGTGACACAGTCACAGGTTCTGGGCGTTAGGATGTAGGACATCTTGGGCGGGAGCCGTTATTCTGCTGACCACACCACCGGAATGACTAAGAAAGAATGCCCTGTTTACAAGGTTTTTTTTTGCAAAGCAGTAAGAAAGTGGTGAGCACCTCATTAGAAAATGGACAAAGGGTATGAACAATTTACAAAAAGAAGAGGTACAAATGAACAAAATTAGAAAAAAATATTTTACCTCACTAATGAATGAAAAGGCACATAGCTGACACGGAGACCACTGTTCTCCTGTTGAATGAGCAGTGATGTGTGGTGTCGGACTCTGCTGGTGGGATATGAGCCACGGCTCTTTGGCAGTGTGGACCAGCAGCATTTTTAATGCGTGCTTTATGTCCCAAGCTTTCCATTTCTAGGAGTCTATCCTCAAGAGGTTATCATAGTTGTGTGCAAGTATTTGTCTCCAAATATCTTTATTGCTTTTTTGTAATCCCCATTTTATTTTATTTTTTAGAGACAGGGTCTCACTCTGTAACCCAGATTGGAGTGCAGTGGTACATTCTTGGCTCACTGCAACCTCCACCTCCCAGGCTCAAGCGATCATTCCCACCATTTTTTTTGTAATCACTTATTTTATTTTTTTGAGACAGGGTCTCACTCTGTAACCCTGGTTAGAGTTCAGTGGTGCAGTCTTGGCTCACTTCAACCTCAGCCTCCCAAGTAGTTGGGACCACAGGCTTATGTCACCACGCCCAGCCAATATTTTTATATTTTTTGTACAGACACGGTTTCGCCCTATTGCCCAGGCTAGTCCTAATCTCCTGAGCTCCAGCGATCCACCCACCTTGGCCTCCCAACATTGCCAGTATTGCCATCAACAAACAGAGATTCGTTTATTTCATGTGTCTGGTAGTCTGTGGTGAGCAGTGCAGGGTTGGGCAGCAGCTCAAAGCCATCATAGCCCCATGCTCTTTCCCGCCTGTCTGCCCTGCTGCCCTTCATGGTGGCATCTTCCGTCACTCACGCACGATGGCTGAGGTCCCAGGCCTCACCTCTGTGTTCCAGGCGGAAAACAACGGAGAGAAGCTAGGGGCCAAAGGGGTGCTAGGTAAGCCTGTTTTTTTTCCCCCAGAAAAGTAAAAACCCCCATTTATTTCTTGCTGGCTGTGAGAAATAAATGTGTGTCACAGGGCCAGCCGTGGCTGAAGTCAGCCAAAGGAGCAAAGGCTTCTGGGTAGAGGTTGATCAGTCAACCAACAGTGTCTGCCATGTGGAGTATTTCATTTCCATCGGTTTTCCAAATTTGCTCTGATGAATATAAGACTTTTATAATAAAACAATTAAATCTTTTTTTTTTTTTTTTTTTTTGAGATGGAGTCTTGCTGTGTCACCCAGGCTGGAGTGCAGTGGCTCAATCTCGGCTCGCTGCAACCTCTGCCTCCTGGATTCAAGCCATTCTCCTGCCTCAGCCTCCCCAGTAGCTAGGATTACAGGCGCGCACCACCATGCCCAGCTAATTTTTGTATTTTTAGTAGAGACAGGGTTTCACCATGTTTGCCAGGCTGGTCTCGAACTCCTGACCTTGTGATCCACCCACCTTGGCCTCCCAAAGTGCTGGGATTACAGGCATGAGCCACTGCGTCCAGCCCATTAAATCTTTAAAAAAATTATATTTATCTTTTGCAATTCTGTATTCAGTTTCAGACAAAATGATGGCAGTTGAGAATTCCCAGATGGGTGTTTCTTGGAGTTTTTAGTCTGTGGGCAGAGTCTGCAGTCCCTTCATTGCACTCCCAGACACCCTCATCACGGTGTGGATGCCCCAGGGTCTGTGGTGGTGCTTGTTGGGCTGAGGCCCATTCTCAGGGAGGGGCTGAATGCCCTGCTTGTATGGGGTGTGGGGTGTGGGATGTGGGGTGTGGGCTTGTATGGTGCCATTCATCCCTTCTGAACTGGGCCCTCAGGACCCCGGGTGGCTGCAGGGAGGCCTGCAGAAGCCAATGAGAAGCTGCTTCCTTCAGTCCTGTGGGTTCCTGGGAGCCCACCTTTTGGCTGAGCTGGTGGTAGGCTCTTGGGAAGGCAGGAGAGAGGCTCACTGGTTTTCCATTTCTTTTCCATCAGCATCCAGCATGTGTATGGCGCCCAGCACCCCCCCTTTGATCCACTGTTACATGGCACGTAAGTGACGTTCCAATCTCACTTGGCATCTCGGCTCTGATGTGGGAGGGCTGTGGCAACCCTGGTCTTCCTGCTTCCCTTCTGCTCCCAGGCATTCCTGAAGGAGTAGAGTAGTTTCTCATTCAGCCACACTGATCAAGCAGTCGCTTTGTGTGAGATGCTGCACACCCCATGCTTCCCATCCCAGTGAGGACGGTGGCTGTGGGAGCCACAGCCTGATGCGGGGAGGCGGGGGAGCCCTGGGAAGAGCCAGGAGCCGGCATCCTTTAGCCACAGGCAGCCTGGCTGCAGGCCATCCATGCTGGCTTGTCCTTTCCGCTCCTCCTTCCCACATTCTCCACCGGCTGCTGGAGCCTGGCCCTGGCCTGTCCTGGCCCCTCCACAGCAGGCGGGAGCACAGGGTGTGGGACTTGTGCTTGACTGGTGTGGCCCTGCAGGACTGCACCTGTCTGACGAGTTTCTGACATGAGGTAGGGCCGGTGTTGTGTGTTGTCATATTTTGGGGGAATGTTGTTTAAATGATCGTGTCTTCAAATCCGTATACCACAGGCCCATACCCTGCACAGGCGCTCCTGGCCCACACCCCCACTGCTGGGCAGGAGCCTTACTGGGACTCGGGGAAGGTGCCACTGGTCAGAGTGAGCTGGGCTGGGTCTGCAGGGCAGCACCATGTGGCCCTGTGCCTCCTCCCAGGTGGCCTTGCTGGAGCCCCCTCCCCTCCTGCCACTGAGTCCTCATGGGCTTCACCTGCTGTGCTCCTTTGGCTGCCTCTGTGAATTGTGTTTGCTTTTTCACTCACTGTTGCTAGATCGAAGCTTAAAACTTCTATGCCTGTCTTTTCACCTGGGAATTCTTTCCTGGCTGGTTTTGGGTGAAACCTTCGAGCATGTACGAGTAAAGACCGCCTTTGCATTGCAGTTTGCTGAAGTCCACGGCCAAGATGCCGACCACACCGGTGAAGGCCAAGAGGGTCAGCACCTTTCAGGAGTTCGAGAGCAATACCAGCGATGCCTGGGACGCTGGGGAGGACGACGACGAGCTCCTGGCCATGGCGGCGGAGAGCCTGAACTCCGAGGTGGTCATGGAGACGGCCAACCGGGTGCTGCGTAACCACAGCCAGCGGCAGGGGCGGCCCACGCTGCAGGAGGGGCCGGGGCTGCAGCAGAAACCCAGGCCTGAGGCAGAGCCGCCCTCACCTCCCAGCGGTGACCTCCGGCTGGTGAAGTCTGTCAGTGAGAGCCACACGTCCTGTCCTGCAGGTATGATGGGAGGACTGAAGAGATGATCTGGGTTTCTGGCCAGGCTAAGAAAGTGGCCAGAACCCGCTCACTGTGGGAGAATCAGTGGGTTCCCGTCCTCATTTGCAGCAGGCCCCCTGGCCCATGAGAGCCCTTACGGTTCTCTTCCAAGGGTAGGGAAGCGGCCTGCGCTCTATCCTGGGGCCCCCACGTGCTTTCTTCTCTCCTAGCTAAGTGCGTCTCTCCTCCAAGTGGAGTGGAGGCACCAGGCTGTTGTGGGCCAGCCGTGAGAGGGCCATGGAGGGGCAAGCGCCTGGGGACACTGTCTCCCTCCTAACTCCACCAGCTTGCAATGGTTCCATGGGTGACATTGCCAGCCTGCATGTTTAGGGGCTGGCCCTCTAGGCAGCTTACAGGATTCCTGCCCGGGGTGCATACACGTGGGCTCAGGTCCGAAGCGGCTGGGAGTCTGACTGTTGGGTCGGCCACATTCGCATTCTGACCCCCTCGGGTGGGGTCGTGTCTGGGGCCGTGTGCATGGCACTGGTGCGCAGCAGCTGTTCCTGAGGCTGTTTCTGTGGCTGCCGCTCTTTAGGTGTTACAGGCCATCACGTCTGTGATAGAAAAGCCACACGGTCATGTGATGAACCCATCGTGGGCCGCGGGCACTGTTTTCAGAGCTTGGGATACCCCACTGGACAGACTGAGGTCCATCTGTGCCCTGTGGAAAGTCCATTCTGGTGAGAGGGACGGATGCAGCACTGCCCACAGCCAGCAAGGGGGCACAGAGTGTGCTGGTAGGCAGCAGGTGCCATGGTCAAGAGAGGCAGAGAATGGGGTGGGAACGCGGTGGCTGTGAGAGCAGTGGCGAGTGAGTGTCATCTTAAACGAGGAGGTCAGGGTGTCCTTGCGTGAGCAGTGCTGTTGGGAGGCAGGGCTGAGGGGCAGGGGCGAGGGCTAGCCGGGGCGGCCACAGGCCCTCATAGGTACCTCCCTCCAAGGTCTTCAGGGGGCCAGGGTGCTCTCCCCACATTTCCGGCTGGGAAGATGGAGATTGTTAGAAGAGTCTGAGGTAACCCTGCAGAACTAGGTTTCATACCTAGGTCTAGTTTTTAAAACCACTTTCCAGGAATTGGTTAACTTCTAAAATGTTACAGCTCTCATTAGTTGAGAATGCTGTGCGTGATATCATTTGATCAGTTTTCTTTTTGGAATCTAATACATTTTAAAGTATTTGAACTTGTAAGTGGAAATCTGGTGATGGCCTTTGCGGGAGGCCTGGAAACCTGGTGACTGACTGAAGCGTGCACTGACCGCCTCCTGCAGGCCCATCCTGGGCAGCGCCCTTCAGCCTGGGCAGAGTCGGAGTTGGCAGGATCCCTGACTTCATCTGCTCATGGAGGGTGGTGCTGACATTGAAGCTCTGTGAGCCTCTCAGCACCCCACCCCCTACCCGCAAGATGCAGGGTGCTGTCAGGCTGAGAGTGGCCAGGGCCACAGGACCACACTGTGTGTGGCTGGGGGATCTGACAAGAGGCAGGCTCAGGCTGCGACCAACCGGGGTCGGGGAGCTGTGGGATGTCACCCTGGGATGGCCTCATCCTGGAAGAGCCAAACAAAGGATGCTCCAGACAGCTTGCACTGGGAGAAGGGAGCCTGTGACCTCGTTGCCTTGTGCCCCCACCGCCTGCCTGGGAGTTGGCCACTTTTCTGGTGTTTGCTTTCTGGGCAAGACTTTTTTGAGCACTTCAGTATAGTAACGGTGATACCGTATATTGATCGTTTACTGTGCAGCAGGTACCGTATCACGTCTCTGTGATACTAAACTCATTAAACTTTGCAGCAACACTAGGGCATGGACTTGTGGGCCCTGCTCAGGACTGAGTGGCCCCTTCCGTGTCCTGATGAAGCCACATCAGTCATTCCTAAGGATCGCAGGGAAGTCCAGCTGAGCACCTTTAATTCTGGGACTCGGTGCACAGCTGCTCTTCCTGCTGAATGTTGATTCTGAGGAACTGTCAGTGCTGCTGAAGCAACAGCCTCTGAAGGAGGGACAGGGGCACTGTTACCCATGGTCCTCCCCTCTGCCCAGGTGCTGGTTGTCAGCCTGCCCTGCGGTAAGGCCGGCAGCGGGAACTCTGGAGCCAGATGCCCCGGCCTGGGGCCCCAGCCCACTGCTCGGCGTGCGGCTGCTACAAAATAGGAATCACAGCAAGGGCGCTGAGGCTGCTGGGAGGAGATTCTCCCGGGGGTTGGGGGGTGTCAGGGAGAGTGGGCAGCGGGGATGGGGGGAGGAGACAGGGCGGTACTCTGAAGTCTATGCCCCCACTTTAGCAGACTTCGCTGGAAATTTAACTGGACCACATTCTGCCCAGAAGCCATAGGTTGCTTGGCTCCTGGATAGCCTGAGGGTTTCTGTGTGAATTCTTTTCCCCCACCCCCAGGTTATGAAGGAAATGGGGGCGCTGTGTGGGAAGGAGGGCGCGGGGAGTGCGGCTCCTCCCTCCTTGCTCCTGCGGCTGCTGGAGTGGATGTCAGCCGGTCAATTGCAGCATGTGCTCCGGCTCCGTTTCCTGGAGTTTATTTTTCACTCTAGTTTAATTTTCAGCTTTTGAAAGATGAGATAGCTAGACAGGATTTAGACCTAGGAGTCTGGAGCCTTCCCCAGCCTCTTGCTTGTTGGTCTTGGGTGGCCGTGTTGAGTGACCTGAGGGCCTTAGGGTCTTCCCTTGGGCTGACCCAGTCCCGGGTTGCTAGGTGGGACATGCTGTCTCACCTCCTGCTTAGGCCCCTGTGGGCCTGTCCATCTTGGGGGTCAGCGAGGCCTTGGTGGGCAGCAGCAGAGGGCGGGCAGCTTGTACTCTAGTGCCACCTCGGTCACTGCCTGTGGTGGGGTCTGGGAAGGTGCCATTCCTTACTTGTCTGGCTTCCTTTGTTTCCTTGGGATGAGGGTCCCTGTGGGACCTTCTTCCCAGGGCACTGGGGAGACCCAGGGAGGGCCAGGCAGGTGGCGGGTTGGGCATGCCCTTGAGACAACAGGTGAGTGCCCTCGCAGTGCCCTGGTTCCTGCTGTGTCCCCACCATTGTCTCCTGTCCTCAGCGCCTCTGCAGGCTTTCTCCTTTCCCTCACGGTAACTCGTGGACTTGCCCTCTACGCTCAGGCCTGGCTGACCCGAGAATACCCTCCTGCACAGACCCTCTGGGTCGTGTCTCCTGGGAAGGCCCTGATCCTCCACCCCAGGCACTGGCTGGTGGGAGCCTGACCGCCAACACAGCCCGAGGGGCCCTGGAGTTTTCTGGCTGTCATTGTGTTGCTTTTATGCGAGGTGCTCCATTTCACTGATGACTGATACTCTGCCAGTGAGGCCAGTGAATTTCAAAGGTGTCAGTTCTATGTTATCGCTCAAGAAACTGAGGTCCCCACTGCTCAGTGATGGGAAGAAGGGACCACTGTGACCCAACAGCGTTCACAAAGAGACGGTGGCACAGCCAGGAGGAACATGCGGTCGAGAGGAATGCCCTCACCCTCACCCCCGTTCTCTCACCCCTGCAGAAAGTGCCAGCGATGCCGCCCCTCTGCAGAGGTCCCAGTCTCTCCCACACGCGGCCACCGTCACGCTGGGTGGCACATCTGACCCCGGCACCCTCAGCAGCTCAGCGTTGAGCGAAAGAGAGGCCTCCCGGCTCGACAAGTTCAAGCAGCTGCTTGCCGGCCCCAACACAGACCTTGGTAAGCACCCTGCCCTCTGGAGGACACACACAGACACTTCTTGCCGTTTCTGAAATAGATCACATCTGAAAGGATTCCGTGTGGGCTTAGGTAGTGCACACGCTTCCGTGTGTAATTTGCCTTGCAGGAAGGTGATGAGTTCATGTAATATTTTCAAGTCAGGAAGTCACTAAGGTAGTAGCAATTTGTGTTGATAGTTGCCTCTAGACATGTTTTGTTAGTGTTTTTCCAATGCAATTTGAAAATATATTTTGTGTTCCTTTTGGTTTTCTTTTCTTTTTTTTTTTTTGAGACAGAGTCTCACTCTGTCGCCTAGGCTGGAGTGCAGTGGCGCGATCTCGGCTCGCTGCAAGCTCCGCCTCCAGGGTTCACGCCATTCTCCTGCCTCAGCCTCCCAAGTAGCTGGGACTACAGGTGCCCGCCGCCACGCCTGGCTAGTTTTTTGCATTTTTAGTAGAGACGGGGTTTCACCATGTTAGCCAGGATGGTCTCGATCTCCTGACCTCGTGATCCACCCGCCTCGGCCTCCCAAAGTGCTGGGATTACAGGCGTGAGCCACCGTGCCTGGCTTGGTTTTCTTTTTTAAAAATTTGAGGCAAGGTCTTACTCTGTCGCCCAGGCTGGAGTGCAGTGGTGCAATCATAGCGCACTGCAACCTGGAATTCCTGGGTTCAAGCAATCCTCCTGCCTCAGCCTCCTTAGTACCTGGGACTACAGGATTGTGCCAGCGCGCTCACCAAATTCTTAAACAATTTTTTCTAGGGATAGGGGTCTCCCTGTGTTGCCCAGGCTGGTCTTGAACTCCTAGGCATAAGAGATCCTCCTGCCTCAGCCTCACAAAGCACTGGGCTTTCAGGTGTGAGCCGCCGCGCCTGGCCCATTCTGTTTTCTTGTTGTCCCAATTGCAGTCTTCGTTATTGCCGCCCTTGGTGAGCCCTTCGAGGCTGGCCAGGTGGACATCCTTGTTCGTCATAGTATTCTGAAGACAGTGGCTCATGGGGGCACAGCGCTGGTGACCATCAACTCGATCTGCTGGTTTTGTACCTTCCTGCCCTGGGGCTGGCAGTCATCAGAGGGTGACAGGCTGTGAGCCCTGCAAGGGGCAAGGGTGAGGCTGGGCCAGAGGGGCAGGCCCGCAGGGCAGAGCACAGTCACCAGCGTGACTCTTCCTGTGCGAGTTGCTTCCAGGCACACGCAGCGTCCCTGTGGACTGCCGTGGCCAGGCTCTGTGGAACGCACTTGCTTTGAGTTCTTCTGGTGGCATTCGTGCTGAATCCACGTCCTTCCTTTCCGTATCTCATCTTTGTGGAGCGCCACTCTGGCTAGGCGTTTGCTAGATGCTGGAACTCTCGGGAGGACCGGAATGTGGCCTTGGTCATGAGATTGCTTCACTGGGGGGGCAAACCTGTATCAGACAGTTACGGCCAGTGTCACTGTGGCACTCTGAGAGCCGGAGGTGCAACGCCTGGCTTGGCCAGGAGGTGGCGAGTGGCGCACGCGGATGGGCCGCCGGGAGCCACGCAGGAGCCGTGCAGGGGCCATGCAGGAGCTCGCAGCATCTGGGCCTTCATGCTCAGGCCCCGGGCAGGGAGAGGGCTTCTGGGCAGAAGCAGCGGTTCAGAGGGCACGGCTGGAGCTGTGTTCCCGAGGCTGGGGAGGGCTCTTGGAAGGTCTTTTGGCAAGGAGGACACAGCTCTGCGTAGCGTTCTCAAAGCGGGTGGTTGTTTCTTCCTTATGTTTGTTTTTTTGAAACAGCAACACTTGCATGTGTTATAACATGACACAGCACAGCAGGGTCTGTGTGAAAATGAGGCCTGTCCCAGCCTCCACCTTCCCTTCCTTTCCACAGTTCCAGGTGTCTCCTTCCAGTGATGGCCCATGCGTGTGTTGTTTTAAACGTTTTATGTTGATGCAATTCAAACTTGCAAAACAGTTGGCAAGGATAGTGCCAACAACTCCCATATGCTCTGCACCCAGAATCACCAGTTGTTTACATTTGCCCGTTACCGTTCTGCATGTGTGTGCCTGTTTTTGTGTGTGTGTGTGTGTGTTTTTTCTGAACCATTTGAGAGTCAGTTGGAGATATATCCCTTTACCTCTAAAACCTTCGCTGCCTGTTTCCTAAACACAGAGACATTCCCTCAGTATCATCACAGCACGGGTGTCAAAATCAGGAAATTGAACATTGACACAGTACTATTTTACACTTTTATTATTATAATCCGCAGTCCATAGTCACATTCTGCAAGTCGTCCCCGTAACGTCCTTTCTCTGTTTTTTTCTTAGCCCAGACTCCAGTGGGGAACCATGCGTTCCATTTGGGTGTCACGCTTCTGCCTTCTCCATCAGCCTGGAGCAGCAGCTTTGCCTGTCTCTGCGTTTCGATCTTGACACTTTAGCAGAGCACAGGCCAGTGTTTTTGTGGGATGTCCCTTGGTTTGTGCTTGTCTAGTGTTTGCCCACGGTGAGATTCTGGTTGATAATTTTTGGCAGAAACATCCCTGAAGGGATTTGTGTTCTTCCTGGTCATCACAGCGGGGCACGTGGTGCTGGTGGGTCCTCGCATTGACGTGGACTCCGATCACTTGGCTGAGGTGGCGTCTGCCAGCTCTTTGTGCCGAAGAGCTCCCCTTTTTCCTTTGGTGATGAAGTGTTCTGTAGAGGGACGCTGTGGGGTCTGTGCATTTCTACGGTGTTTTTCTTTCTCCCCTTGCACGGTAAGGGTTGTGTACCTCACTTTTTAAAGGAATGATATATTTTCCCGTGGTGTATGTGGAGAACCGCCTTAGTCTCTGGAGTGCCCTGTAACATGCCATCCTATGGACGTGCCCCACTTGACTGCACCAGCCCCTGCGGATGGGCAGACAGGTTATTCCTAACTTGCTATTATTACAAACAACTCGAGAACGTTTCTTCAGGCGCCTGAACCTCCTTCTGTGATGGTGCTGCTCACAGAGCATCCCTAGCCATGGGTGAGGCGAGAAGGCAGTGTGGGGGATGACTCTGTGATTTCGGCTAGAGCACCGGGTAGGTGGAAGTGTCACCCACCAAGACAGGAGATAAAGGTAGGTCGTGCTTGCAGGAGTAGAGTCTTGTAGTTGATGTATTAGCCACTTCCTCTCCTAGCATGCCAGCGCCCCTTCTCTGCTGGCTCTCGTGCCTCCAGGGTGGCGCGGGGATGCAGAACCACGTTGCACCTAGGAGAGCAGGTCCTGGAGCCAGGCTGCCTGTGTGGAGAGCTGGCTCCACTGGTTATTCGCCACGTGACCTTGAGCCAGCTTGGTGATGATCCTGCATCTCAGAGTTCTTGTTTGCGTGATAGGCATGACGAAAGCAGTGCTCATTTTGCAGTTTGAATGAGATAGTACGTATAACATGCTTAAGAGAGTGCCTAGCACATACTAAACACTCAAAAATGTTAGTTATTTTTTTTTGTTTTTGTTTTTGTTTTTTTTTTTGTTTTTTGAGACGGAGTCTCGCTCTGTCGCCCAGGCTGGAGTGCAGTGGCGCGATCTCGGCTCACTGCAAGCTCCGCCTCCTGGGTTTATGCCATTCTCCTGCCTCAGCCTCCTGAGTAGCTGGGACTACAGGTGCCCGCCACCGCGCCTGGCTAATTTTTTGTATTTTTAGTAGAGACGGGGTTTCACCGTGGTCTCGATCTCCTGACCTTGTGATCCGCCTGCCTCGGCCTCCCAAAGTGCTGGGATTACAGGCGTGAGCCACCGCGCCCGGCCAATGTTAGTTATTTTTATGGTGGTTGTTATGTTCATTTGAACTGGCCTTTTTATCTTTTTATCTTCTCACTTGATTTTTGCGCTGCTGATGTATATGGTCACTTTTGTAGTCATTGACGAGTCAGGTGACTTACAGATGTTGTCCTGGTTGTGTCCCGTGGTTTCCAGCAATAGGCAGGTGGCGGAGAGACAGCTGGTGAAAGCAAGATTTGCCTGATGGGAACCCTGTGCTGGGCCAGGCTCTGAGTACCCACCTGGAACATTCTGGAGGACTTTGTAATTGAAGCAACTTTTGGAAATTAAAATCATACTTAAAAGTAAAGCTTTCAAGACTTGTGGGAAGATGGGAGTATGTAGGGCTAGATTTTACCGTGTAAAAATCAGGTTATTTTGTTAGGTTGAGGGGACTGTGGGTTTTTCTCTTTCTTTATAATTCTATGTAAATATCACATCTAAAACCAAAAAGCTCAATGCAGAGCTTTCAAAGTTAAACGATTACTGCATTTGCATTTAGTAGCAAGAGAAAACATCGCCAGTAAATTGCCTGTTTTTATAAGGCAGTTGAGATGGCTTTGGAAGACCGTGGAATGTACTGTCTTCACATTACATGAAAGACATAAGTGGCAAATATTTGCCAATGTTGGAGAAGCAAACCACCGATGTGAGAAGTGCCTACAGAAATGAGTCTACCTGCGGAATATCATTCTGTCCAGCGGAGTGCTGTTTCTCTTTGTTTAGCTTACACTCTGTTATGAGCCTGGGGATGAAAGTAGCAAATAGAACTTAACAGCTCATTTTGCTCTTAGCATTGGCTCAATATTTACTCACACAAAGATTGCCTACTTTGAAGCCCCAGAAAATGACACTCATGTTGGTCACGTGTGTCTGGTAAATGGTAGTGTGATTTGGTAGCCTGCAGTACATGCAGTTTCCTGAGGGCCGTCTAGGGCCCGCCGTCTAGAGCCCCCCAGTGGGGCCTCAGAGGGCAAACTGTGTGTGGAGCTCAGCTCTGGCCCTCGAGGCTTTCAAACAGTAGCACAGAAGGCATGACTACGCTTCTGTCAAGGAGTGGGGCCGGGCCACGGCCGTGTTCCACTTCCCCCGAGGGGTGAGCACCCAGTCTGGGCTGTATAAGAGTGTGCTGATAGATGGAGGTCAGCAGGAGAGGGGGTTTTGGGGGTTGGGAGGGCATGAACAGAAGTTTGGAGCCGTACACCTCGGGAGTACTAATATGAGTAGATGCCCCCGTGGTGTCCATGGCGGGAG